GGATTTGCCGGTGAGTTTTCTTGACTCGTCAGCTTGAATTGTGTTGTGACGATGTTACCTCGCTCTGATGATGTCCGTCATATGACGGACGAAAGCGTCAGCATGAATCTTCCAGTAAAGCCAATCGCCAGCTGGTCGAGAGTAATCCGCCGTCGTCTTCTGGTGGAACTGACCTTCGAATCTCTTCACCCAACATTTCCACTCGAAATGAAAGTAAGCTCAACAATTATGAAACAAGAGGTTCCTCGAAACCCAACTTTTCTTCGTATATATAACAGTTTTGAGACCGTGCCCATGGTATTCTACAATTGTCTTTCGTGCTTGACATGCATCTGGTCAATTCTCCCTCCCAGGAGCATATCGAGTATGGAAGAAGTGGAAGAAGAAGAAGAAGACGTCATCTTCCAAACGCAACGGAACTTGAGGATTTTTGCGCTAATCAACCAATGGGTCTTCGCCAAGAGGATTATGCGAAGAAGTCTTCTCACAGTCGTGCGAGTTCGATGAAGGCTAAGCGAACTCGCATGACGATGAGTCGAGAAGTTCTTTGCAGAATCCATCAGTTTTCATTCTTCGAGAGTAATACTCCTTCTTCTTCCGGTGAGGCTACTTCAAAAATTCCCTTCGGCCAATTTCTTCTTCGAAATTGGAAAGCCGAGTAACAAGAAATAAGGTTCACTCCGCAATCGAATTGCCAGCCCCAACTCTCAAGACCAAGGTTGTCTGGCGAGGTGCTTCTTCACATGTGACATAAGAGTAGGACAAGTACACTCAACCACTTCGGTTCCTATCACACCCGAGCTGGACGGTGTCATACCGAAAGCCTCGAGCATCAGGTCAGCTCGAGGTTGACCTCACGCCCTCATGCAGGCCACAAGATGTGACCATCTGCCTCAGTCTGTGTTTTTCAGATCAAGCCTCAACTTCGGTTAACGCCAAAGGGCCATTCTTGAATAGCTTCAATTCGAGTCTTCAAGACTCTAAAGCGCCGTTGCCTCGTGAACACAACTCTGCATCTGGGGGCTGACTGGTTTCGAGATCGAGCATCCAGCAGCGATGGTACCCTTGACTCCGCTCCGTCTTCGAGTGTCGCCTATCTTAACCTTGCGATCAATATGTCAATGAGTCAGCGCCTCTAGGCCAGTTCAGCACATGCCAACTTGGTTGCCCCTCACCGCTTGGTCGTGGGTATCAGCAACTCGAAACTGTATAGACCTGATAGTACTCCTCACGGAATGCTGTTCTCATCCAAGTTGAACCGCGATGAACAGGGCTGTCGTAACTGAAACCAAAGGGGGATTGAGTCTACCGGAGCTAGCCAGTCAAACCAAACAACATGTGTCTAGGCGGAATCCACCATCATCCTCTGGAAAGGCCGCCAATTTCAACTCGAAAATTAAGTCATCTCGACGATTGCCAATCAGCCCGCATCTAAGAACTCCAATCTTCACACATTTTACCTTTCCCAAAAACGTGGGCATTGTCGTATGACTAGTGTAGGTTGAGTCACCTGGTTTTAGGTGACAAGGCGGAGTGTGGCAGGTCTGACGGTTGGTTCGGTTGTGTGCCACGAAGCGACCGGTCGACAATGAGAATGAGTGTGTTCTAAACCCGGGCATGGGGGTGATAGTGTGTAGTTGATGTGTGGTCTGTAATGAAGAGGGCAGACCCAGCCAGAGGGGCAGGATGAGTGAGATGGTACGGAAATGACTCATCGCCTTCGAGGCGAGCAATGCCATGACAACTGTCTTGGAGCAAAGAGACTCACTGATCGCAGCAGAGGTCCAACCGACTTGCAGTGCCACAGATGCAGATACGATAGTGAGTGGCCCCAGGTTAGGGTCGAAAACTGCATCGAGATCATTCTCAATACGAAATCGTATGGCA